CTCCAGAAATTTACAGATAGCTTTAGGATGGGAGATATCTGCCATAGAATGTAGGAGAGAAATGCTACAGATAGTTTTAATCAAGGTTAAACGTTTTGCGCGTCTTGCAGCAGCGCCCATCGGTCGCTTACTGTTCTGTTTCTACCCGGGATTAAACGTTTTTTGGTAGAGGCACTCCAATTGCTTCTCTGCACTGCTCACTCTTCCGAGTCTCACCTTGGCACTCGAATGTGTGCAACCTGTCCATTGATATGCCCAATCAAATGCCAAGAAATACCCAAAAGACATTTCACTTTCGATTTTGTTGCTCACTTAGTCAGAACAGCAAACGTTTCACACTTCCCCTCCCCTCCCCTCCCCTCACCTCACCTAGCTCGTAAATGCCACCAAATACTGTGGCAATGCCAATAAATCACAAGCAATTATGCAAGAAAAGCATCCTTAAGGAATTTTCACACTTTCACACACACACACACTCAAAGCCAAGAATCGAAGCAAAATCTTCAGACAGAGGCAGGAGTCTGTCCAGCTGTCCAGCTGTCCAGCTGTCCAGCTGTCGTCACATCCTTCTGTGTCCTTAGTGTGTGTGTGTCCTGTGTGTGTGTGTCCTGTGTGTGTGTGTGTCCTGTGTGTGTCTGTTCGTTGACCAGAAAGACCACAAGTGCATTATATCCGAATAAATCTCTCGATTGCTTTCTTATGCAACAGCAACAGGAGAAAGGCTTATTTACAGAAAATATTTCGGCTAAAAGTCGTTGATGCCAGAGACGCACATGCAGCAGAAGGGGGACAGGACAAGGCTGCAGGGTGGGCGGCATAAGTGAGGAGCTAATAAATGTACAGAAAATTTCAACAGGCCAAACATTTACTTAAGCAAAACGTTCGAGACAGGGAGAGAGAGCGGGGAGAGAATGCTGCTGCCACATCGAAAGACGTTTTGCTCTTGCTCTCGGTATAAGTGAATAATTGTGTGGCACACACACATACACACACATATAAGTTGCTTATGTGTGTGTGTGTGTTGTGTGTTGTGTGCTGGGTGTCTGGGTGTCAAGCCACAAACACCTTTTGCGTAAAATAAAGCAATCAAGCAAATAATGTTGCCACATTACACTATCAACAGCTTCCTGCCTTGACACACACACACACACATGTGGCAGATGGGGCAGAACAGTCTGGGTTTGTGGGGGTAGAGGAAATTCTTCTTTAATAGCTTGCCGCACACACACACACACTCGTACGCGCCCATTCAGGACTAAAGTAAAATGGAAACAACCTTGAGGAATGCCCCTCATGGAGGGAGAGGCAGCACACAGAGTGGCAGGAGTGGCAGGAATGGCAGTGGCAGAGGCAAAAGTGTCTGGCAAAATGTCTCGACTCTTGACTCTCGACTCCTGCCACACTTCCCTACTCTTCTGGGGGGAGGAAGGTCTGCCATGCTACGTCTCCATCGCCATCGCCATCTCTGGCTGTGGCTCTGTGACCGACTCAGTGTTCGTTCAAGTCGACGACAAGGACACAACCATGTTGCAAGAGCAACAGCAGCAGGAGCAGCTAGGAGAATAAGAGGGGCAGGCAGCAGGATAAGGAAAGAGTAGCAGGAAGCAGGAGACGTCTCTATCACCCTCCATCTCTCTCTCTCTCTCTCTCGCTCCCTGTGTGCACTTTCGCTTTTGGTCTTGCCCCAAAATCTGCACATGATGATGTGGATGCTGCCTGCTGGCTGCTGCTGGCTGCTGCTGTTGTGCCACATATTTAACAAATTATCTGCCATTTCTCGAGTGCAGCAGCAAGCAAGCCACTTGAGGCACAGTCTCGGCTCCAGCAAGCCAATTTTGTTGCACTTTTTAACCCATGGAGATTGCTGGCATAACGGAAGATATTCCAAAGGAAAACTATGGAATACCCCAGGGAAGGGAGGGCAAATATGAAGCATAACAACAAGGCAAATTCCAGGGTATTAAAGGCTTCGATTCGAAACCAGAATCTAGACAGATTCAAGCGCAAGTTGATGGCAAAGTTGCGCTCCGAAAATAATACCCTTAAAAGCGGCATCTAATTTCTGTGAAATCCTCTGTGGCGCTCAGTGGGTTAAGGGCTGCCAAAGCACTTGTCAAGACGGCTAACGGGAGAGTTGTGGCTGCCACAACGAGGAGGCAGAGACAGAGGCCAGGATTTTGGGCTACAATCAGCCGCAAAATGCTGCTTAACTTCCAGACACACACACAGCAGAGGAGGAGGAGAAGGACACAGAACAGCAGCCAGAGACGAGGAATACAAGGAAGACAGACAGACAGCAGTGGCAACCACAGGCCGTGGCAAGGACGCAAGAGGCAAGAGGCAAGGCAAGGCAAGGCAAGCTGCTGTTGCTGCTGCTGCTGCTGCTGTGGAAGGAAGGAAGGAAGTTGTTTGTGGGTCGCATTCAAGGCTGACCGAACCGAGACCCGAGACCCGAGACGACGACTCTCGACCCTTTTGGCTGCCACACCCCTCACTCCCCTCACTCTCTGTGTGTGTGTGTGTGTGTGTGTGTGTGTGTATTTGGGTGTGCCAGGGTGGGTGTCTCACAAGATGAAAGCCACTTGGGCTACCCCCGCCCCATACAGTCGAGTCGAGTCGTTTCGAGTTCTAGCTTTTGCTTGGGAGTTGCCACAGCCAGTGGCATTACCACTGCCACGGCTGCCACATTGCCACGCTGCCATTGCTGCCACAACTCCTACGAAATGACCTTGAGAGCATTACAAATGTACGTTTGCCAGCCACGCCTCCAGCTGCCGCCTGCCGCCTCCTGCCTGCCGCCTGCCGCCTGCTTTCGGCTATGGCTTCTCCTCTGACTTTGGCTTCTGGCCTTCTCTCCTATTTATCTGCAGTTTGCAGCTAAGGATGTTTTGAGAGCAGGACCAAAGGACTAGGACAGAGTAGAGACTGGAGTCTGGAGACTGGAGACTGGAGTCCATGCCCCAGTGGGGTAGTCCAGTGGCAGAGCGTGGCCATGGCAGAGTTTTGCATCAAGTGTAGAGTGTAAAGTGATGTGTTAAGCTGTTAAGTGCCAAAGTAATTGTTTTCTTTCATCCAACAACAGCAACAACGACAATGGGGCATGGGGCATGGGGCATGAGCCAAGGGGCAACACGGAATGCTTGACGTTGCTTTCACTTGCCACTTGACCTTGAGACTTCTCTCTCTCTCTCTCCCTCTGTCTTTGCCTGTGTTAGTGGGAGAGAGACACAGAGTCGAGTGCATGTTTGAGAGTGTTTTTGGGGCGGGAGGTGCGGATGTTGCACTTGCTCTTCGAGGGCGGTGTGAGGCATGGGCGTTATTGTGAATTATGTCTAAGCAATTTGGGGCACACCACTGAAGAGTGGCCACAGAAGGGGTCACTAGCTGTGCCGCTAGTGGGGCTAGTCCAAGGGTGCAGTGGCTGGAGGGAAATGGTGAGCGAAAGACACCCTTTGTGGGCGCCCCTTACCCTGCTTTGCCTAGAGCTTTCACTTTAATCGTAGCTTGCGTGTAGAGATCTGTAGATAAATTCCCAGAGCGCCGTAGAGCTGTAGATAAGCGTAAATAAATTCTCTCTCCCTGAAGCTTTCTTTGCACCCTATCCTGGCACTTACCGCCCTAGGCCCAAACTTTACAGATTTTCTGCATAATTAAAATCTTCTGCAAGTACCAGTATCTGATTGATTCTATACTTCCATTCCGTTGAGTATCCATAGAGGATTGTCAAGCTGTGGGAACTATGACAAAAACACCTTCCACGTTCCGTTTCATGTGTAGATTGCTGAAGTTCGGGCATTGGCGTTGCTCTAACAGGGCCAAAAGTACATATAAACAATTTGTAATCTTCCCAATCTAGATCCAAGCCTCACATTTATTCTCCACTTGAAATGTGATAAATATTGCAGGAGTTGGGAGCTCGTAAAATGCATAATATTGGCTATCCATTTTTCATCTACTTGTGTTGCATTCATCTCATATTTGCTCAACGATTTCATCGGTCTTCCATCAAACTTTATGTCCTGTTTCCTTTTGTAAAGTTCGCTCCAAAAATTCAACGCTTCGTTGCCATCCGGTATGGAAGATTTCCACGCCAAGAATCTCTACAGATCACTGAATAAACATATCGTTTGATATAATTCTTTCCCTCACGAATCTATCATCCAAGCTTGTACCGTTCACCCCTTTGTATCTCCATCTTTACCATTTTCCCCCCTCACCCAAAAAAGAACACATACATTCACATTTTACATTTAGTTTTCCATTTGTGTGTTTTATTTCTTTGTTTTTATTTGTATTTATTGTTTATTTATAATTTAGGGCTTTAACTAAAACTCAAGAGAATGCTTTATGCTGCATATATTTGCTTTCCATTGGATAGACGGTAATAATAATAATAATAATAATAATAATAATAATTAATAATTAATAATTAATAATCAATAATAGTTGCACTCACAATAGATACAGTCATGTCTGTGTGGGTGTGTGTGTGTGTTTGTGCGTAGTGGGGGATGTGCATGTGCATTTGTGGGTGACTGTTTATGCATAAAATTAGCATTCAGTAGATTTTCAATAGATTGCTGCCTGCTGCCTGCTGCCTGCTGCCTGCCGCCTGCTGTTGCATTTACAAAGCGAAGGAAGAAGTGGCATAACTTGCCACAGATACTTTTGTATCTCATTGTAGTGAAATGTATCTTTGAAGTGTGTGTGTTTCTATGTGTCTGTGTGTATCTATGATCTAAAGACGAAAGGAAAGCCTAAAGCTATTGGAAATTTGTACATTATTTACATGGAAATTGCATTAATTTAATTATAATATTTATCCGTATGTATTTATATATCCGTTTTAATTATAGATGTATCTTTAATATATATGTATGTATATGCGTGTATATGTATATGTATCTGTAACTAGACATTTATATTTTTATAGATTATTCAGTGTGTGTGTGTGTGTGTGTTCGTGTCCGTGTTCGAATGAGCGTTTAAAACTAATTTTAAATCTACATTTAAGAAATGCACAAGTCTCTCTCTTCTAATTCTTAGTTCTATTTAATTAATTAATAATTATTTCCTCACTATCTCTCTCTCTCACTCTCTCTTTCTCTCGTACGATGCGTGGCAACAAAAAGGCAATCCAATCCAATCATATCAATCAATCGAATCAATCAAACAAAAATAAATAAAACGATTCAAAGACGAGATCCTATCCTTAAAGGAAAGTTCCGAAGTATTTTTGTATGTGTGTGTGTGTGTGTGTGTGTGTGTGTGCATGGAGGGGCGAGGGGTCCTGTTTTGGTGTCCTTTAAGATTACATTTTGTGTTAATACTTTTTATACCTCTTTAAGAATTCCTACATATATCCTATATATATATATCCTATTTATATATATATCCTCTCCTAAATCCTAGCCGATAAAAACCTTCAATTATTCCAACTAAAATCTAAAATAAAAACGTTGGGCATTTTTCTTCAAGTAGCAGTCCAAAAATATTCCATTGCCTCTCCCTCTCCTCTCTCGCTGACGCTGACGCTGCCGCTGCCGATGTCTCTGCCTCTGCCTCTGGCCCTGCCTCAATCCTCATGCGGCAGCTCTGTGGCATGCTGCTGCTGCTCCAGCTTGATCTTCATCAGTGGCGACTCACGCACTGGGGCATATGCCGCAGCGGCTGCCGCTGCTGCCGCCGCATCCGAATTCACAAACAGCTCGCTCATATCCTGCGGCCCCCCGGGCCCCGGAAAGAAGTCTTCGAAGCGGGGACTCTTGTTCTGCGCCTGCACCGATTTCTGCAGCAGGCCATTCGCAATGGCCTCGAAGTCAATGCCCGCCGGCAGGCTCTCCAGGAAGCGCTTGTTGTACGCATAATTCGGATGCTCCTGCTTCGCGTGCTGCTGCTGTTGCTGTTGCTGCTGCTGCTGCTGCTTCGCATAGTGCGTGGAGTAGGGGGAGGCGGCGCCAGGACGATTCGACTGCGCCTTGGAGGCGGAATTGCTGCCGCCGCGCGACTGATTCCCATACTGACGCGCCTGCATCGCCTCCTTGAGCTCCCGATCCCGCTCCCGCTCGCGTGTCAGCTCACGCGCATAGCTGGCCGCACTCGAGGGAGCCGCCGCACCACCGCCACCCCCATTGCCGCCTGCACCGCGCGATGGCAGGACATTCAGACCCGGGAGCCCCATCAGCCCCAAGGCCGTCAGATCGGGCAGATTCTCAGAGCCACGGCCACCGGCGCCGCCACCGCCGCCGCTCTGCTGATGCTTGGCCGCCGCCGCTGCCACAGCCGCTGCCGCCGAGACCTGATCCTCGATCTCGGAACGTTGCAAGTAGGCCGGCGACTTGTACATGTGCGGCGCCTGCTGTTGGTGCTGCTGATGCTGCGCCGCCTGCTGCTGCTGCGACAGGATCTGGCGGCGCAGGGACTCTGTCATGGTGCTCAGCGGACTGCTGGCATCGGGCGGAGCCAGCGCGGCATTCTGTGCGGCCATCTTGGCGGCTGCAGCGCTGTGATAGCCATTGGTAGTGGTGCCGCCACCAATGTACGTCTAAAGAGAGCAAAAAAAGAGTTGCGAAGGGAAGGGAAAATGTTACGAAAATGATGGGAATACAGATCCTCGCAAAGATCCCTGATCCCTGACAGATGGTGAGATAGTGAAACTTACGGCATGCGACTGTCCATTCGCGTACTGATGTGCCCCCATGTCCTCCTTGATCTCGCGATAGTCCCTGAAGACCACCGCCTTGATGACACTGCGAATCAGCTCCTCCGGCCACATGCCCAACAGGATGCGCTGCGGCCTGCCCCTGGCCTTGGGCCGGGGATCAGTGCCGCCATCGAGGGAGGGTCCCAGCATGTTGTGCACTCGATTCGCATACAGCACGAACGTGGGGTAGGGGATGTCGAATTTGCGTGCTGCCTGCGAGAGGGAGAGCCCCTCCTTGAGGACACTGAAGATGGCCTCGGCCATGGCCTCGGGGCGCCACGACTTCAAGGGGCCGCGTTCGCGGAAGCGCAACTGCTGCACGAGATTCTGCTGGTTGGTGTTCCAGCATTTCTGCCACATGGACTGCAGCTGGTACTGGTAGCTGTCTGCTGGAAGAACAGAGAGAGAGGGAGAGGGCGAGGCATGCGAATGCAAACGCTGGAATCGGGGGGGAACAATGGGTGTGGCAGACAAAGGTGCAACACTTACCCGCCACAGAAGCGCCTGTTGCCGCAGCAGCAGCGCCCATCCAACCGCCATGTCCGCCGCTTTCGATCATTTTGGCCTGAAAAATGGAAAATGGAAGGCAAAAACAAGGAAGTTAGTCTCGTCGTTTCGTTTGCTCCTCCGCTTCGCTCTGCTCTGCTCTGCGCGACATTTTCTTCGAGCCGTAAAAGTTTATGAATGCCATAAATGTTGTTGCCCCACCCCCCCGTTTTTGGTATGCAAAAACGTTAGAAGAGGAAGCTTCCCAAAAAGCAAATTAGTATACAAAGTGGGCGCCCACTCTAGCCCACCAGATTCATTGTCTTGGCGGCTTTTTATGGCCACAAAAAGGATTAGGCAGAGGGGGCAGCATTTATTTATTGCTATTATTAGGAATTCAGGCGGTAAATGAGGTGGGGCGGTGGGGCGGGGCGTAGGAGTAGTCGCTGGCACGTAATTGAGACTGACTTTAACCCTTGAGCTGCATTAATCTAAATCTAAGCTACACTGTTCAAAAATGCAACCGGGGCGGGGCCTACGCTGGTCAAAGGAATTATCATTTTCGATGCGCTGTCCGAGAGGGTACACCGATGTATTTAGAGCACTTTTTACACCCAAAGAAACGCAAAATAAAAGTCTGAATATATATGCTGAATCGGACGCAACAATTGACTTGCTTTGGATATATGTATATTTTGGTGTCCATCTGCCCCTTTTTTTTAACACTTTATATACAAAGCGTAGATCAATCTTTGCGGGTAGCCAAAGCCAGGCCACATTCTCTCTCTCTCTCTTGCTTCTCTCTCTGCCCTGAGCATAGAAAAAAAATTTATGCACGTTTCGTGCAGCGGCCATGGCTGAGGCGGAGGCAATAAAGCGACCGCCTGCCCTGCCCTGCCCTGCCCGCCTTCCCTTGCGACTGACCAGCAGCTTTGGTAGCTTCGCGGAGCCTCAAAGTCCAGTTCCAGGTTTTAGCCCAGTTGCAGGCCACGCCCACCAACGCGTCGGGAGGTGGCACGTAGCCGTAGCCATGCATTTTATATACACGTTGGGGCGTAATACAAACTATGTGCAACGAGGAGAGGCACAAAAAAGAACAACAACAAAAAAAAAACAGGAAAAGAAAAGGCAGCGGCGGGAGCGGTGGCGGCGGCGTAATAAAAGGGAAACGAATATAATGCAAGTCTTAAATATTTGAAAAGTAGGCGCCGCCGTCGCTGAAGCTACAGAAGAGAACACAGAAGTGGGGGAACACTGTACTGTGCACAGTAGTACAGTGAAGCAACTTGTACATGCCGACTGGCAGGCAGCAGGAAAAAGGTCATAAAATGTATGAATAATTGAAATTGAAAAGTCGGAAGCATTTTTACATTTTACATTACAGGCAACAAAACAGCATACAACAACAATAACAGGCACTGTGCTGTGCTGTGCTGTGGCACGAGTAACTGTAACAAATGTAACGTAGCAATGGATGGGATGGCGTTAAAAATGCGATTTTATGTAAAACACTTTGTTAATGATGAAGGCCTGCCACCCCACAGCCCACCTACCTCTGCAACCTGTTCTAGGTGTACTCTGACTTATGGCAGGCAGTGTGAACACTTTATTGTGCTATAAAATGCATAGGTAATAGGAGAATGTGAGTCATGGGGGGGTTTATATCGGGGATTGGTTGAGACGGAGTTTATTGAAGGCCCTGGGCCATGGCTGAGGGAGACTTTGCTCTATATTTGCTCCAACTCATTATATTTATATATTCATATTTATCTAACTATTCATCTGTCTATACAACTGTCCATCTAAGCATCAATGGCAGCCAACTATAACTCCATTTATTCCAGTTTTTGTTTGTTGGTAATTCTTTGAGAGGTTATTATGTTTCAATGCTCTGAGGATCTGCCATCATAGAAACATCGTCAAAACATTATTCCTACATTCCTAAATATATCTATGTATTTAATATATTACTTATTAATTAATTAATTTATTCTAATACATCTACTTATTGTACTCTTTTTTTTGTGGTTTCCAGAACTTTGATCTACTTCTTCTAACTGCTGCAAAGTAAGTACTAAGTATTCCCATCATCTACATACACAGACATTCGTCATGCCCCAACCTCATGACCTGCCTTCCTAGAACAGTCATACATCTATCCATCCATCCATCCATCCATCCATTCATCCATCCATCCATTCATCCATCTACATATCTATCCCCTCTTCTTCTGCGTGTTTCTGTGGCAATGGCAATTACAAAACTCTCTCGCGCTTCGTACAATTTCATATAATAATAAAATATTACGAGCTGCTCTGCTCTCAAAAATGTTTAATTAATTAAATTTTCAATTCCCAGCGTCTTGTGGCCCCCCCTCCCCCTGCCGCCACCAGAGTATGTTTTTCCCCACTCAATTTTCCTTCGACAAAAACAAATTTTGAAGTGTGCGCGCATTCAACTTTCTTTCAACTCATTTAATTTAATTTGCGGCGCCTCTACTGCTGCTGCTGCTGCTGCTGCCGCTGCCGGTGACGGTGACGCTGACGTTGCTGCCACTGTGTGGCACACACAACCAGAGTGTGCGTTTGCGCTGCGTCGCGTCGCGTCTTCTTCGGGTTCTGCTTCTTGCCAATTACTCATCGTGTGCCCCATTCACATAATAATTTATTTAATTAACTTTTCCGCTTGCTACAAAATTTTCTATAAAAATTTATTGATTATTTTTCTTGTCTTGTTTTTGCTGCTCGAGAAGAGGGAAAATATTTCTTGAGTTTGTTTTTTTTTTTTCAATACTTTTCCATCCACCCATCGTATATCTGTGGATTACATATAGAATTCTAGAACTTTTTCTCTGTGTGTCAGTATGTGTGTGTGTGTGTGTGTCTGTTGGCAATAAAATATAAATTTATTATACGCGCCCGCCCCCGCCCCCACCTTCACCTCACACTCTGCACATTTTTGCCATCAATCGAAATGCATGGAAGGGAATGCCCCAACTCCTTCGCTTCACTTCACTCCACTCCCCTGCCGCTCTCTTGCCTTTCAACAGCCTTCAAGTTTTCACTACTACATCGCGGGGGCATAACCATAACCCCTACCCTTTCCCCTACCCTTTGCCACTGCTGCTCAAACTCCCACTCCTCTCCGCACTCTTCTGTAATACCCCTTTGGATTCTAATGCAATTTTAATTTTATTTTTCAAGCGCGCACATAAACTCAGCACTCGATTCCCGCCCCCGCCAAAACCCCACTCATCCTTATCCTACAGAGAGCGAAAAGCAGAGGAGATATGGACTATGGATTATCCATTTTTTTTTAGTTCCAATTACAAGCAAAATTTATTTATTTATTTTTACTTTGGAAAATTCTTTAAATTTTTGCAATAATTTCTTGCTTTATATTCCATTTCCATTTCTTTCAGTGTAAGAAATACCACTAAAAACTAGATGGGCTGATGGGAGGGTGGCAAGACCTTTATTCTAACCCATACCCCATACCATTCCCCTCGTTTTCCTTTCTTCATCCCGCGTATTCCTTAACCGAACTTTGGCTGTAGTTTTGCCTTCCTTTTGCCTCCATTACTGCTGCTCCTGCCTGTATATTTCTTATATTATATAACACTTTATTTATTATTCATTTTCGATTCGTGTTTTACCGTGGCGGCGGCGGCGTCTCAAGTTTGTTATTTCTCTTGTCTGCAAGTTGCTTGCCACAGAGCCTCCCCCCCACACACATATACACACACCATGCCATGCCATGCCACCCACTCACGCGCCAACATCCCTGTAGAACTACTACGACTAGCTTCCACACCCCACCCCATGCGAAGGACCTTGCCATTTCCGGGGCTACGTTTCGTTTGGGGCTACTTTTGCTACTTCTGCTGCTGCTGATTGCTTGGCGCCTGTTCCCTTTTAGCCTTCACTATTACTACTGCCACTAGTAGTTTTCTCTCTCCTTGGCGCTCTCGCTTGTCTCTCACTTATCTCTCAGTTGCAAGAGAGAGTGTGCCTGTGCTCTGCCTTTCTCTCGGGAGAGTGTTCTTTTTCTTCCTTCTCTCCATTTGGCATCTTTGCTACTGCTGCTACTGCTGCTGCTGCTGGCTGCTCTCTGCTCATTCATTTATTTATTTGTACGAGTATTACTCAGCCAGCCGCATGCCACACGCATGTCGTGCCACCTCTTGCTGCTACCATCTCATGCCACCCACTTCGCCCTCTTCCTCCCCTCTCTTTCTCCCAATAATTCCTGGCTCCTGCTTCTGCAATTCCTGCGATTCCTGTTACGCCGCGAGACGACGGCCGCACCTTGGTTCGTTTCTAGTAGTTGTTGGTGGGGCATCATGCTCAATGCTCCATGCTCCATGCCCCATGTCTCGTGCCATTCATTAATTTTATAAGGCGCTCTAGAAATAATTCATTTGAAAGCGAACACCTCCCATGGGAGTACACGGCAGAGAGACATCGACATTCGGAAATTACTTCAATCCTCAATTATCGAAGACCCCCGAAGACACTTGCCAAGGGATCCCCACACCACCACCACCACCACCACCACCACCTCTGTAGCTGTAGCTTTAGACCCATTTTCTTGGTGGCACCGCGAATCGATTTGCATTTTTAGGAATCCCCTGCACCCTTCCATCGTTTCCCCTGCAGAGAATTCCTAATTCTGGCTGGCTGGTAGGACACCCAAAAGTAGCAGAAGAAGCAGCAGCTGCCTTGCCTTTCTTTTTTCTGGAGGGTAGGCGGCATCCACAAGACAGCAGCAACGGCAGAAGCAGCAGCAGCAAGCAGCAGCAGCAGCGGTGGCAGCAACTAAATATTTAATAGTATTTTATTGCACGAATTTCACATAAAATATGCATATTGGCCAAATGCATTATTCATGGGAATAATGTGAAAAACACATTTCGTAAAGACTGCTGCCAGAAGGAAAGGTAGGTGCAGAAAGCAGTGGGGGCAAAGGGTGCGGTGTGTGGCAGGGGCAAGGGTGGAGCCGTACCGTGGCACAGGGAAAGCTCTCTGTAACTCTTCTTCTTGAGCAGCAGTAGCAGTAGCAATAGCCTTGCTATGTGCCACATCTAGAGTCTCGTCTCTTTTCTATATATCGTTTCGCGTATTGGAATACAAATAATGAAATGCAAAACAACAAACGGGGCGGCTATAAACAATTGCTGTGTGGCACTGGTGGGAGCGGGGGGAGGGTGGTGGGTCCAAGGAATTGCAGGGAGGCGTCGGGAAATAGTTGCAACAACAACAAACAACAAGCAACAACAACAACAAATGCAACAAATAATTGTAGCAATCATAAAGCCAAGTGCGAGTGCATGAAGCTCGCTCTCTCTGTCTGTACCGCATTGCCTCTTGGGGGGGGAAAGTTTTGCTTGCAACAAAAAAAAAACAATCAAGTGTAGGCGAGGCATTTGATACCCTTTAATGCTTGATGATTGGTGGAGAGGGGTAGATATGGGATTTAGGGAGACGATCTATGGTGTTAACCAAGTGTAAAATACTACGATAAATACTAAAACTACCATAAAAAATACTATAAATACTAAAATACTACAACCAAAATACTAAAAATATTTTGAATTAAAATATCTTTGAAATGAAATATTTTTGAAAATATATCAAATTTCTGTTACGCCTACGTTAGCATACCCTCTATAAGGGTTAGCACTCGTAGAAAACACAACAGCCACCACACACAATGGCAACAAACAATAATTTAAATGTAATAAATAATTATACGCCAAGTGTTGAGTGCAACGTGCAACGTGCATTGAGGTGTGTCAAGTTGCCAACTCTAAGCAGAGGGAATGCCTGGCAAGGGAAAGAGGGGCAAGCGGAACAGAAGTAACCACAGCCCGACAACAGAAATTCGCTATAAAACATTCAAATGCAGGGGCACAGCACACAGCACAGCCAGCCAGTCAGCCAGCCAGTCAGCCAGCCCTTCTTTCAGACCCTCGAAAAATGCCACGACGCGCGATTTGAGGTGCACCCTTTCCTTTCCATTCCTTTCTGTTGTTTCTGTTTCTGTTTGTGTGTTATTTTTACTGTTTTGTTGCGCCCCCGAACAGAGTCCAGGCGTTGTCTTGCAAGCGCTCGTCCTTCCTTCCCTCAACCGCTTGAAGGCGAGTACTTCCTATTCCATGCCCGGGAGGACGAGCACTCGGACTTGGACTTCATTTGCACTGAGACTTCATTCGGTCTGCACTGGAGAGACGCGCCTTTTGCCAGAGATGGCAGCGTGACACGGGGTCACGAGGGATTCTTTCGGCATAAACCGATGGGCGCTGTTGCATGCTGCGTTAAATTTGACGAGGAATATACTGAGCTTTAAAAGGATTCATTGAAAAGTCTTGGAAGCTTTCATTATTAAAAAATTCTCTCAGATTTAATAATAATTTCTGTTGTAGAACATTCTTTGAGTTCGAGTGACTTTTCTTTCATTTTCTTTGGCGGAACACCCCACGGCCTGGAGTCACGCTGTCATCCCCAAGTCTCTCCGGCTTGTACGCGAATTGTTGAGGCAACAATTGTAACTTGCTGCACTCGCTTTCTGTGTTGCTCATGTAATTTCCAGAAGGGAAGGGCGGTGACTGTGGAAGGAGCACACTTCCACAGTAAAAATTAACCTCTTGCAAATAGTAATTTATTGTTTTTTTTTTTGTTGTTGTTGTTAGCATGAGGGGATAATGAGGATATATGGGGCTCGGCTGCCGCCTGTTCCCAGGGACACCAGAAGCTTGGGCTTACGACTACGACTGGCTGACTGGCTGGCTGACTGACTGGGATTGTAACGACTTGGGAGTTGCCTCTTGGACAGCGGTGCTTGCGTGTCCTTTGAATGCTGATTGAAAGCGCAGTCCCTGCACCCCCACCACTACCCGTGCCCCTGCTAAAGGGTGGTAGAGTAAGTCTACAAAGTGTTAAAACGGCTGCACACAGTCATTAAATATGAATACTTGTATAAGCAGCAGACAGACAAGCGACAAGAGACTAGAAACAGAACAAGAACGGAAAAAAGAAAACATGGAGAAAGCACACACACTGCTGCAA